TCAGAAAACTTTTGTACTATAACAAACTAACTTTCTTAGAGTATTCCTACTCTATTTTCATACATGGGCCGACCTTTCTATCCATTCGAAATAAAAAACAAGAGGAAAATTTAGAAGGAAATCATATGTAATATATCACAAAGATTTACAAAGGTAACAAGATGATCTTACAACTACTACATGACCTCCTTTATATAAGGCTATGAGGTTATTACAAGACAAACTTATATTATAAAATAAACCTATCTTACATGGCAAACCTATCTACAAGTGGGTCCCTTTTGACATGTGAAGGACCTTAGGCTAAGTGAGTAATATGCACTAAAAAGCTTCTAAAAATATGTGAAATATACATTGTAAAGCATGTGGAAGTATGTAGAAATTATGTGAAAGTAGGATAGTCCATGTGACAGAGCATGTGGAAGCATGTGAAAGTGGGGCCCAGATAGTATGAAAATATTAATTTTATCTTGGTATGGGTAGATAATTTTTAGGATTTTTTGGTAGGCAATATGGGATTAAGGTGAGATTAGCAAGGATTTTTCGACTTTGTATTCTAGGCATCTTTTCAAAGATCTTGTGTAGTAACGCCCGGAGCTTGACGATCTTACTTCGTTGTGTTCTTTCTCCTTTGGATTGAGAGATATAATCTGTAACCTTAATCTGGATATATCTTGAATATTTTTTCCTCGGATGACTTTGTATGGGATCTGGTATTCCTTTGCTGCTTCTCGGACCCTTTTCCAGTGAGGATGAGTACTGGTATAATTCCAACTCGCCCAATCTTTTGGCCATATTTCTCTTCGGATGCACCTATTTTGCTGGAAGATAATTCTTTGTGTTATTCATCTTCCACAGATAAAATGGACACGGAAAATTCCACCAGAATGATACTTCTACCTGCACCTGGACCTTTCCATTAATAATTTTCACTAGCCTACGAAATATGAATACCTTAGCCTTGTAGAAATCATTGAACATTTTGTCCAATATCTTCGAGGCATGAACCATAATAGAAATATTTTAAGGGTAGGTTTAATGTTGTCAAAATCATAGAAGACGTTGCACTTGAATTCTATGAAAATATAATACTGATAGCATAAATGCCAGAAAAACCATAAAGGTTCCTATGAAAAATCCTTAGCTTGTGCTGTGAATATATGGCAGAATGAATATTCTGGATTGACCTCATAGGGCTTAAGAATAGATACTCCATGTTGCCAGAAAACCTGGAGCTCATAATAAGTTCTTATTTCCATTATTATTGATGGATCAAAGGGATCCATGAGGTTGAATAACTCTGGTGGATGATCTGTTGGCTTCGATGAGCTTGTTCCTGGTACATTTAAAAACATGAAGATTTAGATGGTTAGCTTTTGTTTTGACTTCATTTTTGCTGCGAAAAATCTCTTTGAGAATTCTTCTAGTCGATACAGAAAATCTGCGAGAATATTATCCTTTCCCTTCAGGTGCTTGACTTAGACGTTGTATGGAGAGAATCATTGGGCCCATATGAGAATCTTAGGATTGAGAATAATTTTTGCATTTATCTGGATCATCTTTGGGAAGGCTTTCATATCCATTTGTGTTAGAAATTCTGTATGAATCAAGAAAAATTTAAATTTCTTAATTCCTTTCTTTACTGCAAGAATTTCCTTGAAAGTGGAGTGATAATGTTTCTCGGCATATTTAAATTTTTCACTAGCATATTCGCATAGTTTTCTCTGCCCATCCTTTTCTTTAAATAGAACATCACCCTAATATTCATTGTTGGCATCAATTTACAGTATTTTCTTACCTTATGAAGGGATGTAGAGTGACTTGACATTCTTAGATATCTCATTTATTTCCTTGACTACTTCATCTTGTTCTTTTTTCCACGACGGAGCATTTTTCCTAATCATCTTTATGAGCGGAGAAATGTATGTAGAGATATTTGGGATGAAATCTCTTATATAATTTACTATACCCAAGAACTATTGAGTCTGCTTTGTTGTGAGGCTGGTATTTGGAAATTTGAGCAGTTTTAACATACATGTGGTCCCGGACTATATGCACCTTGGATAAAATGCATTCTGGGGAAATCAATCTCCTTTTGAGAAAGAACCATCTTTTTTGCTGAGAGCATGATCCCATACTGTGTTACCAGTGCCTCAAATTGACAGAGCAAGGTGACATGTTCCTCTAATGTATCACTAAATAACAGGATGTCATCAATGAAAATCAAAGGGGTATGGATGATGGGTTGGAATATCTTTATCATGGATTTTCAGAACAAGGAGGGTTCAATTTTTAATCTAAAGGGCATGACTTTCTATTGGATATGGTGATCGCAGATGCAAAATCTCGTTTTGGCTCTTTCTTCAAGATGGATTCCCAATTTCCACAATCCAGGTTTAAGATCAAACTTGAAAAATATTTGGTCTTGGCTAAGTAGGAAAAAAGAGTGAGTTTATTTGGGATAGGAAATTTATCATCTTAGAGGAAGTGGTTAAATAGCTGGTAGTTAATAACTAGCATGAGTTTTCTTTTGTTTGCTCAGCTCTTTTGTTGACATAAAATGCTTCGCACTCCCATTGTGAATCTGATGGCTTTATTAGATCAAATTCCAATAGTTCTTCACATTCTCTCTTTGCAAGCTGAAGATGATATGGATTCATGCATGAATGACTGACTTTTGTTGGATTGATATTTCCATTTTTCTTGAAAGGGAGCTTGATAAAAAAACTCCTCGTTCTTCCATAACGGGCTTTTTCCTTTCTTCATAAAATCCTTATGGGATTTCGCACATGACTCAATGAGATTTTGTTCGATATTCTTGATTTATTCATCGTTGGTGATTTAGAATAGGCTTGGAATTTCAGAATAAGGTTTGAACTGCTTTTTAAAGGTTATCCCGGTAGCCCTGATATTGAATTGATCTTTTGGTTGTCTGAAAATGTAAAATCCAACAATAACATCTTTTCTTGGTACATCAGACCTTATCAGCTTGGTTCTATACTTCATTCCTGGAAAAAACTCAATTGTAATTGGGTGCTTTATAATGACGGTGGTAGTCAGGATCCCATTTGATGCAGTATTGAAATCCTTAAAGTGCGGCACACATTGATCTTTAGGGAGAACAACTGGATTCATGAGTGAACAAGCAGCTCCGATGTCCATGAAAGCAATGACTTGAGTTGGTTTATCCCATTTGGATGGATAAACCTTGAGTTCTACCTAGGGAATGACTATCACATCGTTAATTTCCTCTCGGGCTCTAGCTGCTTGATCTGAAATTTGGCAGCGTTCATCACCATGAACTTCATATATATCAAGAGAGAATAAAGTTTCTTCATTGAGTTCATCATCCATAGAGAATATGGATTTGAGGTCCTCCTCCTCACCGAGATGTATGCCGATGTAATCTTCAATTTCTTCAAGCAGTTTTACAGATCTCCTCGATTGGGGACAATTTCTTGAGAAATGTCCAATCTTGTGGAAAATAAAGCATTTTTTCTTGTTGGAAAAATTTCATACCTCCTTCGTCTGAAATATTTTGTGCGTCTCCTGGACCTTGATCTCCCATATGGAATTCTTGGCTATCTCAATCTCTTGAATCCTTTCCGTCGCCTAGGTGTGTGGTAGGAACATCCTTATCCAGTGATCAGATTGGATCTACTGCATGCTCTATAAAGCGGTGGATTGTGTTGGATAATTTATTTTAGGGCAGAGCGCTTTATACAAATATCCTCCAATGCAACGAAAATAGCTTGCCTGATATAGGCAACTTGTGGGATTGTTATCGTCTGAAACTTTTCTTCAATGATAGTCATGGTTCGGCTTGCCAACAACTTTGGAAGGGAGGAGACAAAGGCTTGCTTCAGGTTGATTTTTCTACCGATCTCAAAGTATATCTTTTCCATTTTTTGAAAATACTTGGCAATATCATTTCTGTCGAATGACTCACACTACATCTCGAAGAGTTGCGTTCGCATCTTTTCTTGTCTCTGACCAGTATCTCCACAAATAACTTCATGTAGGATTTTGACATTGAAGGCAAAGTCCTGGAAAGTAAGAAAAGTATTTTTTTCTTGAATCCCAAGTGAGTTCCACCAATCTCTGAGGATTCTTAAGAATGGAAAAGTGAGTTCTGACAGGATGATCTACTTTGCTCGTTCCACCGAATTTTTTGTCACCATCCAAGTATAGAAGTCTTGAATCCTTTGAGGTAATTTTGAAACCTTGACGTCATCTAAGGTAAAACTGTGGAAGCCAGCTCCAACTGGTTTTGACGCTATGGATTCATGTCTTCTTTCTGGGATTGGTTCATCTGTCATTCCTTTCTGATCCTCATCTACCTCAGATATTTCTGGGTCTCTTGGTTGCTTCACTAATATTGGGGGATAGTCTTCCGTGGAAGAGTTTGTTGTGGATTCATTACTTGATTGAGAGTTATCCTCCATTGTATCATCGTCTGATAAATTTAGAGATTCCGACCATGATCCCCTTCTAACATATTTATTGGTTGGGAGACATAGATTTCTACAAAGAACAAAGTAAGAGACTCAAAGACAGCAAACTTAATTATAGGAACAAAAATTTTAAAGGGATGGCTTTGCAACCCGTGAGGGATGGATTGGCATGGTTTCAACAACCCCTTAAGGATGACTTGCCAAATAGCGGCTATCTTTGACAACCCGTGAGGGATGGTGTGCCAAGATACATAAACAATTAATTTTTTATAGTCGCAAAAGTTCTCCTACAAAGGGGATGGCTTCACATCCCTTTAGGGATGGCTTGCCAAGCTACACAACTAAGAAATTGTTTGTACTATAAGCAACTTTAGATGTTATAACTCAGAAAACTTTCGTACTACAACAAGCTACCTTTCTTAGAGTATTCTTACTCTATTTTCATACATGGATCGGCCTTTCCATCCATTCGAAAGAAAGAACAAGAGGAAAATTTAGAAGGAACTCATATGTAATATATCACAAAGATTTACTAAGTTTACAAGATGATCTTACAACTACTACATGACATATTTTATATAGGGCTAGGAGGTTATTACAAGACAAACTTATCTAACAAAATAAATCTATCTTACATGGCCAACTTATCTATAAGTGAGTCTCATTTGACATGTGAAGGACCTTAGGCAAAGTGACTAATACATACTAACAAGCTTCTAAAAATATGTGAAATATACATGGTAAAGCATGTAGAAGTATGTGGGGTCATGTGAAATCATGTGAAAGTAGGGTGATCCATGTGATAGAGCATTTGGAGGCAAATTGGGGTCTGGATAGTATGGAAATATGTAGAATTTTGTCTCGGTATGGGTAGATGATTTCTTTAGGGTTATTTGGTAGGCAATGTGGGATTAAGGTGAGATTAGGAGGGATTTAGATGATTATCTTGCATTGATTTTTCGACTTTGTATTCTAGGCATCTTTTCAAAGATCTTGTGTAGTAACGCCCGGAGCTTGACGATCTTACTTCGTTGTGTTCTTTCTCCTTTGGATTGAGAGATGTAATATGTAACCTTAATCTGGATATATCTTGAATATTTTTTCCTCGGATGACTTTGTATGGGATCTGGTATTCCTTTGCTGCTTCTCGGACCCTTTTCCAGTGAGGATGAGTACTTGTATAATTCCAACTCGCCCAATCTTTTGGCCATATTTCTCTCGGGATGCACCTATTTTGCTGGAAGATAATTCTTTATGCTTCACTATATTCTTCTTCCGTGGATAAAATAGACATGGAAAATTTCCACCAGCATGATACTTCTTCTTGCGCCTGGACCTTTTCATTAATAATCTTCACTGGCATATGGAATATGAATACCTTTTCCTTGTAGGAATCGTTGAACCATAATAGAAATATTTTAAGGGCAGTTTCAATGTTGTCAAAACCCTTGAAGACGTTGCACTTGAATTCCATGAAAATATAATACTGATGTCATAATTACTAAAAAAACGTAAAAGTTTGAGTGAATAATCCTTGGCTTGTGCTATGAATATATAGCGGAATGGATATTCTGTATTGACCCCGTAGGGCTTAAGAATATATCCTATATATTGCCGGAAAACTTGGAGCTCATAATAAGTTCTTCTTTCCATTATAAGTGATTGATCGAAGGGATCCATGAGGTTGAACAACTCTGGTGGATGATCTGCTGGCTTCAATGAACTTGTTCTTGATTTGAAAACATGAAGATGTGGCAGGTTAGCTTTTGGTTTGACTTCAACCTCTTTGGGGAAACTTTTTTTGAGAATTCTTCTAGTCGAGACAGAAAATTTACGAGAATATTATCCTTTCCTTTCAAGTGCTTGACTTGAAACTTGTATGGACAAGACTATTGGGCCCATCTGAGAATTTGAAGATTGAGAATAATTTTTTCATTTATCTAGAACATCTTTGGGAAGCCCTTCATATCCATTTCTATCAGAAATTCTGTATGAATTAAGAAAAAACTGAATTTCTTTATTCTATTCATTACTACAAGAATTTCCTTGAAAGTGGAGTGATAATGTTGCTCGGCATCTTTGAATTTTTTACTGGCATATCCACATATATTCCTCTGGACATCTTTTTCTACAAATAGAACAACACTCCAATATTCATTGCTAGCATCAGTTTGTAGTATTTTCTTATCTTCTGAAGAGATGTAGAGAGACTAGACATCTTTAGATATCTCCTTTATTTTATAAACTACTTCATCTTGTTCTTTTCCCATGACGGAGTATTTTTCTGAGCATCTTTATGAGAGGAGAAATGTATGTAGAAATATTTGGTATGAAATCTCTTACATAATTCACTACACCCAAGAACTACCAGATCTGCTTTGTTGTGAGGCTGGTATTTGAAAATTTGAGCAGTTCCTGACTTATATGTGGTCCTGGACTGTATGCACCTTGGTGACATGTTCCTCCAATATATCACTGAATTTTCCTCTTGTTTGCTTAGCTTTTTTGTTGACACAAAATGCTTCACACGCCCACTGTGAATTTGATGGCTATATTATATCAAATTCCAAGAGTTCTTCGCGTTCTTTATTTGCAAGATGAAGATGATTAGGATACATACCTAAATGACTAGATTTTGTGGGATTGTGTCACGCCCCAAACCATGGCCTGGGCGTAACATGTCATTCGGTGCCTGACTGCATGTGACCGAGCGAACCAACTGTATGGTTGGATCAACATGTGGTATAACTATAAGCTAGATATAAATATACAACATGATGATCTACTAAAGAGTCTGACTGAAATATCATAGATGCGGAAAATAGTGAAAAGCCTGCAAGTGTAAATGAGTAGCCGACAAGATAACACATAAAAGCCTCCTAACATCTGACTGGATGAACTATAGTCTAAGAAGCACCTAAGAATACTAAAATGCTAACTGTTTACCGGGACAAGGTCCCCGGCATACCTTACTAACTAAAATACTATAAAGACTAGAGATCGGAAATGTCACGCCCAAAACCTGGGGAGGTATGGCTGGCACCCGGTGCCGTATTGGCCCGAGCGAACCATTATGTAACTCATTCTTTCTGTGACCATCATGGGCCTACATATCCAGAACTCATAGTGCTCAATTGTAAGTGGGCAAACACTGTATCACTGAACCATTTCTCTTAAAAGATGAATACATATGGGCCGTCAAGACATCTGACATACTATACAAAATGAACCACTATCTACAAAACCTCTAAGATTATTTGACATCAAATGTGGCAGGGTACCAGACTACCTATAAGTCTGTAACAAAATTTTGACACGATAACTCATAGACTCGGTTGCACTCTGAATGAGATGGAGTCTTACCGATCCTTCACTGAATGCCAATCTCGTCTACTATAAGTGCTCGTCAAACTGATTATCTATACCTACAGGCATGAATGCAGCGTTCCCAATAAAAGGACGTCTGTACATGTACTGAGTATGTAAGGCAAAACTAAAACATAACAATAAGTCAATATTAATTAAAGACGTATAAGAATCAACCTGAATCTCTGAAATGACATCGTATATGCATACATAATATACTTACATATATACAATGCTTCTCTTTGAGACTATTATCTATGTCTTATGATGCATGATTGCCCAACTGATCAGTGGTAACTGCCCGACCGCCCGTTGCACGATGGTAAATGTATGACTGCCCAACCGGTGGTAAATAATGATACATAACTTCCCAACCAATGGTAACTGCCCAACCGGCCATAGCATGGTGGCAAATGAATATGCATGACTGCTCAACCGGTCGTAGCATGGTAGTAAATATATAACTGCCCAACCGGTCGTAGCACAGTAGTAAATGCATGACTGCCCGACCGGCCGTAGCTCGGTGTTAAATATATAACTGCCCAGCCGGCCATAGCTCGATGGTAAATGCATGACTGCCCGACTGGCCGTAGGTCGGTGGAAAATGCATATGCATGAAGATGCATGTATTACTGTATTAAGAACAATAACATCTTTATCTGAAGAAAATCATTGTTGGTTCCGAAGTTATTTTTTTTTTGCTTTACCTTAGTAAGTAAACACAAACATAGGAGAGTTCGGCACATCCACATGCATATATTATCTAGAGAACTCATGAGACAAAAAAGGACATAAGAATTCAGTGATTGACAAATTTTGGATCTCTCATACCCTTTTTTTTTCAAAAGTCCCTTTAACACCTTAGAAATGTAATGTATTCTCAAATAACGCAAATCACAATAAGGTAACAACACAGGAGCATTTCCTAGCCATAAATTCTCCTTGACCATCCATTTACCAATCAATGTGAATTATACATGACACATTCTCCAAAAGGCAACTATCTCAAAAACGAAATTCTCCAAACCTTAAATGACATAAATGTCACTGGTTTTGTTAACGCTACTTCTTGACTTGACTCTCAAAATTTCCTTAGCTGAAATTTGACCTGCTTTGAGTAATATATTTGAATGCACTACATTTTATATTACTATTTCATATTCACCAATTAAAAATTTCATCTCTTTTATTCAAGTAACAACATACTATTCAATGTTAAGCTAGTGCCTTATAATGGGAAAACTCTTAACAGCTAGTTCAATGTTGGATTGATTCTCTAACTGATCAACTCACCAATCAACCAGCTACACCTTAATAGAGACTTAGGAACAAATTTAGACATGCCTGAATATCATTTTACAGAAATAAATAATATAGAAATTCTTAACTGCTAAGAGTAGAATAACTTATGGAATAACATTACATTTACGTATCGTTACTTGGATCATGCCAAAAGAAAGAAACATTAGTATTAACATACCTGATCTGATTCTCTTGAAATCCATCTAATATACGTCAATTGCGACAAAACACGGAACAAGTTGTATGAAAAGCTTAACGAAATCATGTTGCTCAAAGAAAATCTTGGCCGAAACCTTTCCATCCCCAAAATAACGTTTCTTATGTGATTTGGATAAGAAACTCTTGGATAACGTTTCTTGGCCAAAGAAGAACTCTTGGATAACGTTTCCATCCCCAAGAAAATCTTGGCCGAAAGTGATTTAGATATGTTTCTTATGTGCTGGTTGAAGCTCCCTTATGATTTGAATAACATTCCTTATGTGCTTGGTGTCACATAAATCGTGTAAATGTGCCACCTCCTAATTACATTTAAGAGTCATCAGAGGGGTAAAGGGGGTTGCTGCCACATTAAACTTTATCCCAAAGATTTTAATTAATTAGGTAATTTTCCACCAAAAATTATTAATTACCACAACTATCCACATAATTAAGAATGGTCTCAACTTACTTCAAATACTACTTACTTTTAACACACTTTGTATAACTTACTATTATGGTCATGTGGTACCATATAAAATAAATATATACACTATTATTTCATTAAAATATCCATGTAAAAATAAATCTATTTTCTCAACTTCTAATTTTCCTAATCTCATATAAAGAGTAAAATTTTCGTACGCTTAATTCTTAAAATGGTTAAAAAAAAAGATAACCGTATTTTGTTGTGAAAAAAATAATTCATATCTTTACAATAAAGAAAATCTCATAAATTTTTCTCATATTATGTGTATNTGTCCCGAAAGACTAGGGCTCACCAATAGCTGATACGAGTTGTCCTAGCAAGCCGAATCGTCAACCTATAAATTATTACCTGCATCCCGAGATGCAGGCCCCAGGAAAAAAGGGACGTCAGTACATTTGAATTGCACTGGTATGTAAAACAATTGAAAGAAAGAACTATAAATATTGAAACTGAAACTGAGCTGATAACTGATAATTGATAACTGATATATGAACTAAACATAGGAAGTAAGGATATGAATACTCCCTCTTCTGAATGATGTGTGAGCACGTGATTTTTGCCCTAAAATATGATTAGTCCCAAAATCCCAAACAAAAAAATTTTCCTTTATTTTTTTACAATTTTTGGTGTATTTTGGTGTCATTTTCTGATAAGTGTTGCATTCTATTTGCGCATGTTAATTCTATAAAGTACAAAAATATACATTTTTGCGTTTAGGTTTTAGTATCAATTAAGGATTAATTGTGTTTTAAAAAAAACAAAACATGAAAATCACAAAAATTAAGTTCACTTTTGCATTTTAATGATTGTTATTGTGAATTTGTCATGAAATAGCTGTTGAACAATTTTAGTAATTAATTAGTCGTTGTTTTGAAATAACTAGGATTTCATGTTAGTTTTACATTCCCATAAAAATTAGAAAAAAATTATATAAATTTTAAAAGTGAGAAAAGAAAACAAAAGGAAATAAGCATAGAATTTGGGTCTTAATAAAAGACCCAAATTTGGGCCAAATCAAAAGAATTTGTCAGGCCCAAACGCCTTAAACCATTGAAAATCAGCCCCAGCCCAAGTCCCCAACTCGGTTCGTTCCCCCTTCTAATCTAAACGACGTTGTTTCGTGGTCTCCAAATCAAGACCGCTGGATCTCATCAATCCAACGGTCCGGAACTAACGAGGTTCCTAATTTAAAAGGGTCCGAAACTTTCCCCTCTACCCCCATTTGCCTCATCGTCCTCACCCTACCCCTCCTCAACGAACCCTAATCCGCGCCGCCATCAAACCCCTCGCCGGCGGTGAACGCCACCTACCCTGTTCAAGCCCAGATTAACACCACAGATTCTCCTCACTCTCCTCTTTCCATTTCACCCACTGGTTCCCCTCGAATAAGGCCGGAGCTCGTCGAATCTTCGATTGAAGTTTCCGGTCAAATCGAAGGTTCATCCAAATCAGCCCAAAATCACACCACACAACCCCCGGCCCTCCCTCAACACCAATCCATGTTTATTTTCCTTCAAATCACTGTGAAACTGTTCGAATCTTAGATCTGAAAATTTCTGGCCAAAACCCTAAACCAAATCTTTGTGATTTCGAACCGTAGTATCCTTAACCATGTGTTCTCTTGTAAGAACACATGGTTAGGGATGTTACGCGTCAAAAATCTGAAAGGATTCAGACGTTTCTGACTGGCCGGAGTTCCTTATGCCTCTGTGAGTTTTTACTGTTTCCTTTTACTCGCATGTTTGAAGTTTTATTTACAGTGTTTGTTTCGTTAATTTTTCTGATAATTTTACGATTTATTTGTATTAGTTTAGTTCTGTCAATTGTTGATTAGTTCTGAGTTGATATTTGTTTGAATGATTACGAGTTTATAGATTAAGAATTAGTTTCAGTTCATTTAATGTTGTTCATATTAGATTAAGCTTAGTTTGATATCATTTAGTTTGATTGAGTTAATACGTTTGAACAATTGGGTTTGGTCAGTCTGATTAATTATTTTCTGAGTGCTAGTTAATCATTCTCAGTTAGTTTTAGATTGGATTAGGGTATTGGTTATAGCTGTTAAGGATGAGGGTAGGTTCAGTAACTTTGAGGGGCTTTCAGGGGTAATCTGGGTATGGAAAAGGGTAGTTCTGATAGGAATAGTAATATCAAGGTATATGGAAGGGCAGTATAGGTATTGTATGGGTAGAGGAATACCCTAGGGCCTTCTAGAATGGGGTACAAGTGTAGATTTTAATAATTGTAATGCATTTACTTGTTTAGCAAGTTAAGAATAGAGGGACCAAACTGAAAATAGGGAGGGGACTGATTAGAAAATCAAAATCTGATCTATTCTCTTTGGGGTTGCCTATAAAAGGGCATGAAATGCCTTGGGAAAGGGGGCTGCTTCTGCTTCTGCCTTTCAGCTTTAAGCTCAAAAACCCCCCCACCAAAAACTCTCCTCCTTGCTTCCAATTTCAGTTGGCATTTTAATTCCAATTCTATTCAGAAAACAAAACATCAAAAAATGAAACAATCAAAAACAATCTTATAGTTTCATTATTAGTTGGATTTCAGCTGGGTTTTGGGTTTAGCAGTATCGCAGAGGTGTTTGGGTGCAGCTGTGAGGGTTAAGAGTATATTTGAAGTATGTGTTGAATTGATCTGTGGAGGCTGCTTGTATTTCTGATTTTCAAAAGTATTTTCTGGCCTGTTCCTGTGGTATATATTGCTGAGTTTGCTGCTGTTGCTGTTGCAAGTAGCTGATTCCTCTCCTTCCCTCTATTTACATTTCAATTTCCAGGTACTTGTTCTGTAGCTCTCAAGTCTATGGAATTGAAGTAAACATGCTGTCTGAAGTTGATCTCTGAATTCTTCATGTTTTTGTTTGACTTAATGTATAAAACAGTTAGCTTACTCATGTCATTTGGGTACTAGACTAATCCTGGTTTGTATAAATTGAACTGATGAATTGTCAAACATGAGTTTGTTCATTTTTATTAGTAAGTGGGCACTTGGGTATTTAGATTCATGTATGTAATCAAGGATGTGGACTGTTTAGACTGTGCATTTCATGTTTATGCAATTGTAGTTTTCAGTTTGTTTAAGTTCCACAGTCTGCTGAAGTTAAATCTGCAAAGTTGTAATTGATTGTGAGTTTAATACACATGACTGCTTTTAATTTTGGTCTAATATGAATTGTACATTCAACAACTTCCTACTGGGCCAGTTTTGGGCCTGGCGTATTAACAGGTAGCCCAGATTTTGGTTAGGTGATAAATCGAATTAAGGCCTAGGTGCATTAAGGTTTAAGAATTTAGTTAAATCAAAAGGTGCCCCAAGGGCTCGATCCCTGAGCTGTACAATGGCCTGTCAATAAGTTAAAAGTCTGGCATGCGTTAGGCCTGGTGCTTAGAGCTCTAGAAGTCTGCGCCTGCAGCATATGCAATGACATGATTTGGACCTTATGGGCTTAGAGCCCATTTTCTCAACATTTCTGCCTGAATGTTCAAATT